TAAGTGTCTGACTTCGGCTCAGGTCATGATCCCAGGGTCCTGGGATCGAGCCCCATGTCAGGCTCCCTGCTCAGCAGAGAGCCTGCTTCTCCCTCTCCTTCTGCCTGCCGCTCTGCCTACTTGTGCTCTCTGTCAAATAAATAAATAAATAAAATTTCTTTAAAAAATGTTCTAAATAGTGGTGATGGCTGCACAACTCTGTGAATATATTAAAAACCACTGAACTGTACACTTGAAAAGAGTGATTTTATGGTATGTGAATTATATCTCAAAGCTGTTATTTTAAAGTTATACCTGCTATTGTCATAAATTCAAAGCACAATGACTTTTTAATTTTTATTTATTTTTATTTTTTTAAAGATTTTATTCATTCATTTGACAGAGAGAGAGAGAGAGACACAGCGAGAGAGGGAACACAAGCAGGGGGAGTGGGGGAGGGAGAAGCAGGCTTCCCACTGAGCAGGGAGCCTGATGCGGGGCTCGATCCCAGAACCCTGGGACCATGACCTGAGCCGAAGGCAGACGCTTAATGACTGAGCCACCCAGGTGCCCCAATGACTTTTTTTTTTTTTTAAAGAGTTGGCTCCATTTTCTGCTCTGATACGGAGTTCAAGTTTTTTTTTTTAAGATTTTATTTATTTGACAGAGACAGCGAGACGGGAACACAAGCAGGGGGAGTGGGAGAGGGAGAAGCAGGCCACCCGCCAAAATATAAATATCGTTTTGCAAAAATGGGATCCTTTTATACCTATTATTCTGCATCTTGCTTTTTTCACTTCTTTCGAGGATGTATTTCCATGACATTCTTTTTAACAGTTGTGTGGTTTTCTGTCATGTAGCTGTGCTGAATCGTAATTACCCGGTCCCTTACTAATGAATATTTAGGATGTTTCCAGTGTTTTGCTGTTAGCAAACAAAGACCATATTTGTGTGTGCATCTCAAGGCCCCTGGGATAGTATTTTGGAGGACAGAATCCTCCACCTTTTATAGATGTTGATGTTGAACTTGGGCAGATGACATCTTTGTCCAGGATCTTCCAGCAAGTGTGTGGCAGAGAGGGGTGGTGGGTGAAATGGGGCCAGCCAGGCCCCCCCTCCCACCCCCAGGAACTGCACATACATACATGAAGTTCTCTGGCTTTGAGAGAGAAGTGATCCACTGGCCTCTGAGCAGGTGCAGAATCAGATAAACTCAACAGCTAGAGGTGCCTAGTGGTGTCCCCTCTAAGGCTGTCCTTTTTTTTTTTTTATTTCCAATCTCTCTGCCCAACATGGGGCTCAAACTCAACCTAAGATCAAGAGTCGCATGCTCTACCGACTGAGCCAGCCAGGCGCCCCCAATCCCTCTCCCTTTTATCTTTCTGAAAGTGACCATGAGATCTGCATGGGAAGACAAATGTAAACCTTAGGCCCTGGTCATTCCCTCACTCTTTCGTTCCCACCAGTGTTCATCCTATATTAGATTCTCCTACCCCAGTGGGTTCTGGTTTTTCATCCTGTCTTTGCCTCTGCCTCCTCCACAGCCCTCCTGCAAAACAGGTTGGCAGAAAGAATGGCCAGGGGAGAAAGCAAGGCGCTCTTTCCCGAAGTAGTCCGGGAGCTCCCCTGGACACCTTCCTTTTCCTTGCCCTTTATCGTGCTGGACAAAGATCACCCAGTAGTCTGTCTCACCCACCAGACTAGTCCTGCCCCACCACTGGGACCCCTGCAGCTGTTAGCCTGGATTAAACCAGAAAAGATTCAAACTCTACCTGCAAGGACATCTCTCACTGGCTTGCATTCAACGTGCTTTCTTGTGGGATGGGTGTTCTTCAGCTGAAATGTCCCCACCTCAAAGATGCCTTCCCTGGTGGCCCTGTCTGTCTCCATGGCTCTCTCACAGCATCTTTTCTATTTTTTGCCCCAGCACCGTTCACTATCTGAAATTATCTTTGTTGATTTGTTTTCTTGTTCCCTGCCTGTCTTCCCTGCTAGAAAGTTAATTCCATGAGGGCAGGAACCCTGTCTCGTTTACTCTTCTTTCCCCTCGAATGCCCAAGCTGGGAAGCGGGTGCTCAGGAAATCTGTGTTGAATCCATGTGTGACTACAAATGCATGTACAAGGTCCGAAAGGATAAGTTTTAAACTGACAACTGTGCCTACCTCTTAGAAGGGGACTGGGACTGAGGGAGGCAACTAGGAACTTCAGCTTTTATTTTTCAATTTTTGATGAGGAGAATGGGATCCCTTAATTGGTAGTTAAAAAATAAAGAAAAACACTGAAATAAAGGCCCAGAGCCCTCAGTCCTAATCCTGAAATTATGGTATGATTTGGGGCCAGTGACTTGACTTGCCTAGCCGTCTGTGGCTTCTGACCTCACCTGTAAAAGCAGTCCCAACACTCACCTGAACCCTGGATTTAGAGTCTGCCCAGCACTTTCCCTTTTTTTTAAAGCAAGTTCTATGCCCGGTGTGCGGCTTGTTCGCACCACCCTGAAGATCAAGAGTTGAGCGCTCTACTGACTGAGCCAGTCAGGTGCCCCGTGCGCAAGTTTGCCATCCATTATCTCAGCTGATGACCCACACCCCTGGGTTGCAGGCAAGGCAAAGATTATTATCCCCATGTTATAGGGTAGGAAATTGGGGTTCCTAGGGGCGAGGTGTCTGGCCTGCAGACGCAGCTGTGCTCAAGCAGGTCCTTATTTCCTATCGCGGTGAGCTGACTCAGATAATGAGTTTATAAAGGCCACAGATGGGCTAATGGGGACCCAGAGGGCTGTGCCATATAAGTTATTATTACAGCAACGGGATTAAGGTCTGCGCTGGAGCTGTCTTCGGGGACCTGGAGGGAGCCCCTTAGGCTGGTGAGGACAGGGATATAATCCCTCCTGGGTTTTAAGGAAAAGTCCTGGTGGTCTTTGAAGGCCAAGGTGGGTCCTGAGGCCGAGTCTCTGATTTAATGAAAGGAACCTTCCTTTCCTGGAGTTGCTTTCTCAAAGGGGACAGGGCAGGAGGTGGCAAGCACAGACTGGTGAGGGGCCAAGAGGGTTCACTAGGCCACCTGGCCCACGGCAGCCACTTCCTAGGTGGCCCGGGAGAGTCCGCATTCTGGGCCAAGAATGGGCCTTCCAGCCTTGAACAGATCTAAGATGGCAGGCTGGCCCGGTTGGGGTCATAACGGCATTCCGGGCTGGGGCTTAGGAAGTCCTTGAGGAGGTGGCAATCCCCACGTGGGCTTCTCTCCTCCATAATTTCCTCAAAAGGCCCATGTGAGAAGCTGGGTACAAAATGTTTTCAGGGGCGCCTGGGTGGCTCAGTCATTAGGCATCTGCCTTCGGTTCAGGTCATGATCCCAGGGTCCTGGGATCGAGCCCCCGCATTGGGCTCCCTGCTCAGCGGGAAGCCTGCTTCTCCCTCTCCCACTCCCCCTGCTTGTGTTCCCTCTCTTGCTGTGTCTCTCTGTCAAATAAATAAATAAAATCTTAAAATGTTTTCAATCCATTTTGCCACACGTTTAAATACGTTACTAGGTACCAAGAATTAGAATTTATGAGTGATGACTGAAACGTCAGGCACATTATATCTTAATCCTCTCAGCTACTTTGTAAAGCTAGAGTTATGCCTATTTTTTTTTTATTGGAGAATAATTAACATGCAGTGTTATATTAGTTTCAGGTGTACAATATAATGATTCAACAATTCTATACATTACTCGGGAATTATCCCTATTTTTAAGGTATGGAAACATGTTCAGGGAGGCACAAGATCACACGGCTGAGGGAGTGGGAAAAGACAGGATTCCAGCCTGGGTGCCTAGGACTCCCAAAGCCCTGCTCTTTCCAACCTCCGCGGGCTGAGGGGTGACAGAGGTGACTAAGACCCTGCTCCTTCCCATGGGGGGGTGGAGCGACAGACCCATCCCAGCTCACTATTATACTGCTCAGAGTGATGTCACCACCAGCGCAGCCAGAGTGGAAAGCTGATTCATCTGAGGTCAGGAGGGACCTCTGGGGAGGAGCGGCTGACCCAGGTCTTGGAGAGGGAAGCAGAACGAGGCTTGGGGTTCCAAGGTCTGAGACCCAGAGCCCCACCGGACAAGGGCCTGCTTCCTATTGGTTCTGCCCACAGGGGCTCCACCCACCACTCTTCTAATGGGGCGGGAGGAGATCCCTGAGCCTACACAGGGGCAGAGGAGAACTCTGAAGGACCAGTCGACAGGCTCACTACATGGCGGAGTATACACCTGGACTGATGGGGGTGGGGTGGGAGCATGAAATCTCCCTGGCAGGCGATGGGGGAAGGGGATAGTGGCAGATAGAACGACGGAGTTCAGGGGCGTTTTGGAGTGGTGAGAGACTGGGTCAGGGGAGGGCCTTGGATCAGGCCATCTGGGGGTGCTTTGGGGTCAGCGGGGAAACTGCCCGATTGGCCTGAGGTTGGGGGGGAATGCCTGCCCGAAGTTTCAGGCAGGAGAGGTGAGTGGGTTTAGGGAAGTCAGTGTTGGGGATCTGCACGTCCTTAGGCCAAAGAGTGGGAAGAGGGCAGGCTGGGAGAAAGGAAAATTCCAGGTAGGCAGCGTGGTGGAGGTAGTCGGGTGGAAGACGTCATTGTGGAACGGGCGAGTTCGCAGTGGGTGAGGGGTCCAGGGGCTGTCCCGGAGTTCTTTGAGGGGTTCCCGAGGAAAAGCGGTGACCGCGATCGCCCAGCAGAGGGGCTGCGGGGTGTCCGGCCCTCGCGCGGGCGGGGGCGCGTCTGGGGGCGGAGCCGCCGCTGGGTGGGGCGCCAGGCCCCCGGGGCTCCCGGCGGCGGCGGGCGGGGACCGAAGCCAGCGGGACGCCCGCGCCTGCGGCCGGCCCACAGCGAGGGGGGCGGGCGGCGGTGAGTAGGCGGCGGCCGGCCGGGCCGGGCCACGCGGGCGGCGGCTGCTCGGGCAGGTCCGGGCAGGGCCGGGCGGGGAGCAGCGAGCCCAGCCGGGAAGCCGCGCCGCAGCCCGAGCGCGGACACCGAGGCCGCGGCCCCGCCTCCTCCCCGCCCTGCGCCCGCCGCCCGCGGGTCGGCGCCCGCAGCTCGGAGCGGCGCCGGAGTAGGAGCTGGAGCCGCCGCCGGAAACCGGCCGGAGTCGGGCCCGGGGGTGAAGCTTGATCCCGGCGGCGCCCGGAGCGGGTCCCGAGCCCCGCGCGGCTCATGGCGGGGCCGCGGGGCGCGCTGCTGGCCTGGTGCCGCCGCCAATGCGAGGGCTACCGCGGCGTGGACATCCGCGACCTGAGCAGCTCCTTCCGGGACGGCCTGGCCTTCTGCGCCATCCTGCACCGGCACCGGCCCGACCTGCTGTGAGTGCTGGGGGCGGGGGGAGGGGCGGCGGGCGGGCCGGGGCGCAGGGCCGCGCGGGCCCGAGCTGGGGACCCCCGCCCCCCTCAGTGACGCGGAGCTCGGGCGGTGGCAGGCGCCGCCCCCCCGGAGACCGAGACGCAGACCCTACCGACGGGCCCTCAACGACTCGCAGGTCACCGAGCACCCGTTCCCCCCGCCCCGGGGGACCCCTTCCCCACGAGGCCCCGCCCCCGCCCACTGGGACACTGAACCTGCCCCGCATACTGGTCCCTGCACCGAGGGCCCTGGCCCCGCCCACAGGGCACTGATTTCCGCCAAAGAGACACCTAGCCCTCCTTGGGGACCCTGGGCCTTTCCCGCACCACTCAAACAGGAGCACTGAGCCACCCCCTCTCCGCGAGGCACTGAGGCTCGGCGCTCTGGGAGGGGGGTCCTCTGGCGCACTTTTCTGATGCCCCCCTGCCATCTTGTCTCCAGGGCACCAGCATAGTGCCTGGCACAGAGGAGACCCTAGGTTGATAGTTGTTGGATGAATGGATCCTACCTACCTCCTACCTCCCACCCCAGTTAGGACACAGATCTGCCTCCCAAGTGTGTACCCACAGCGCTGCGGTCCTCAGTGGGGCAGGGAGGCTGAGGGAAGATTCCCAAGGTCTGACTGACAGCCCCCGCGGCGCTGCTCCAGGGTGTGAAATGGCCCCTTCTTGCCCCCAGCTGCCAGGTGAGGTTCTCATGGAGATATTTATTCAGACCCCAGAGCAGTCGACTTGGGGCTTCTCTCTCAGCTCCCCCTGCCTTGGACTCTGGAACCTCTTCATTTATTCACTCATTCACTCATTCATCAAACAGAGTGAAAATTAAGCTGGGGCCCACCATTCCTTGGGCTTCCTGTCTCATCGGCAACTTGAGACCCAGAGACCTGGTCTTTGCCTCTCTTGCCAACAGTGCCCCCGACAGGGCTCCCTGAGCCTGGCTGGGTCTGGGGTCTTTGGGTGTCTGTTCCACTGCAGACTTGTGCTCCCGCTGAGCACTGGACCTGGCAGGGCCCCGATGGAGGAGACAAGGGAGGAGAAAATGGCCTCAAGGATCCCATCTGTGTGCTACCGTGTCTGGGTGCTGGGGTGGGCCCTGTGTTGGGCCGTGGAGGAGAGGGTTTTGGGGGGGTGCAGCTGCAGAAGCAAAGGAAGACCGGGTGGAGACGTCCATGGGCGCCTGCCCGCTTTGGGGTGGGTGGCAGCTGCTCTAACACAGGCATGGGCTGGGGGTGGGGAGCTCAGGAGCAGGAATTGGAAGGCTGGAGAAGGGCGCCCAGATTGGACCCCTGTGTTGGAGCAGAGGGCTCAAGGGGCCTTCCGTTGCGGCTGCAGAGCAGGCAGTGAGGCAGGAGGCAAGGGACAGGGCCAGTGTGTTAAGGGACCTCAGTGTCAGGCTAAGGTGATCGGTGGACCTGAGCTGGCCAGCATCAAAGTGCAGGCTGTTTGGCTTCGTTCAGCAACTCCGTGTTCTAGATGTGTGACCTGGGGTAAATCACTGGACCCCTCCAGACATCAGTTTCCTCATCTGTACAGTGGGGTTGATAATAGGATCTATGTCACAGAATTGTTGTGAGGATGATATGAGGTAATGAGCATTCAATTAACATGAGTTATTACACGTTGTGTGATTAGACAGTAGGGTGTGATGAGGGTATGTTACTCCTTCGTTTGTGCTGGGCCCTGCCTGGTAATGGAGATAGTAGGAGCCAGGTGCTCCCCCTACGCAGGAACACCCTTCCTGCGGCCGGAGGGGGCCACCTGAGCAGAGCCCCGTGGGGAGGGAGCACTGCTGGGGCCCATAGCACAGGGCAGGGAGGACCAGGAGATGCAGCTGGCCTGGAGCGCCAGGGCCTCTTGCTGGCTAAGGAGGGTGGATGGAGCCATGAGGAGCTTTGTGGGTTTTAAGCAGGGGAGGGCAGATCCCCTCCTGAGAAGAGATTCAGAATCATGATTAGACATTCCTTTGTGGAGCGGGCCAGTTCCCTGGCTACCAGCCCATTCAGCAGAAGAAAAACTGAGGCCCAGCTGCCACAAGAGGCATAGGGAGGATCTCCATGAGAGTAGGGGTAGGGTAGGGCCTGGGGGCAAGTCATCTGAATGGGTTCAAGCTCTTGGAGCTGTGGGCCCTGCTGCTGCTGGGGGGCGGGGTTTGCCATGCTGGGGGGCCTGGTTCATTGTTGGCCACCCCTCTGACCCCCAATCCAGGCATCTTTAAGCTCCCTTGAGGGCAGAGACCATGTGGGTTTCATTTTTGTGTACTTCATCTCCCCCAGAGCCAAATAGAACTTCCCGGGCTTTTGAAAACTCTCAGAAAATATCTGTTACCAAAGCCCAGATGTTGATTAGGGACAGAGATGGGGGTGGGGAAGAAGCTGCAGGAGAAACCAGTGTTTCCGGGGTTTTTATAGTTTTCACAGAATTTATTTTCCAGAATTTATTCATTCAACAAATATTTGTTGAGCACTTACTAAGTACCAGGAACTACACAGGGTGTTGGGGGCACAGGGTGAACAAAACGTGAGCCCAGCCTTCTAGGAACACTGTGGGGGAGACTGAAGTTAACCGCCAAGACAAGTTGCTTTTGTCTCCTTTGGTCTCTGAACAAGCCTTTGTTGCGGCTGGGCTGGTGTCCCCTCACCTGTTCACAGGGTCACAGACGAGGACGCTGAGGTTTAGAGACTTTAAATAGCTTGCTTATGGTCACACTCTTAGGCAGTGGCAAAGCAAGAGGGCTTAGGGACCCAGCTTTGGCTTGGGTGGGGTGGGGGGGGTAGGGGCAAGGGTGGGGGGAAGGGGAGGGGGGAGGGAAGTGGCCTGGCCAGAGGTGGCAAAAGGGCTGAGGCTCATTCTTAGTCAGCTCCCCTGTCCTAGATCACCCAACCTTGGGGCACCTCCCTCTGGGGTTCTCAGGCTACCCTTTCCTGCCTCGGCCCACCATTCATCGGTTCGTTCATTGTACCTGGACTCTGCCTGAAGCAGTTTGGGGGCAGGAGGAGGGGGGCATGCTTGCCTGCCCCCTTGTATCAGTGAGACCTGCCCTTCCCCAAGCCCAGACTCATCCAGCCCTCCCCACCAACCTGGGAGGGGGTGCTAGAGCTTCCCCCAACTTACAGATGGGAAAATGAAGGCCGAGAAGACTGCTGACCTGCCCCAGGTTGCATAGCCAGGCCTGGAAGAGCCGAGCCTGGGACCCTGACCTTGGAGGTGGTGCTAGCCTGTTCTGGTCTCTGGGCCCACCATGTGGGAGAGTCAAGGCTGCAGTTTTCAGCCATAGAAGGGCAAGGCATTGGGCGGGTGCACCTAGGAGGCTGCCAGCCGGAAGGCTATGCTGTTTCTGCCAGTTTCAGCCACTTGAGCAGCCTGGGGTGCTGAGGGGGAGGAAGGTGGACAGATGGAGCCAGCAGGCTGGCCAGGTATCTCCCGCCAAGGGTCCCCAGGGCAGACCCCACTGCCTCTCACCTGTCCCAGCTTAGAAACTGGGAAACCCTTTACTGCTCCCCCAAGGGAAGGGGTCCCCAGGAGTGGCCCAGCAGGTCGGTCAGATGTTGTCAGTAGCTCTGGAGTATGTATAGTTTCCAGTCGGATTCAAACTTGTTCTTCTGTTCCTGGCTCCATTAAACATTCGTCTCTGGGCTGGGTCAGGGATTCGGCAAGTTGGTGTGGCTCCTCTGGGTTTGTGATAGCCGGTGGAAGGTCCAGAACTGTGGATCCTCAGGGCTGGGTGGTTTCCCCTTTCTGGGTCGCAGTGTCCTCATTGGTAAAGTGGGGTCAGTACCTGCCAAGAGAGTTGCTATGAAAATAAACTCCCGACAGGAGCTCAGCACAGTCCCTGGCGTGAGGTCAGCCATCTGTGGCGGTCCCCGTCATTACAAACATTAGTCCTCGTCTTGGTTTTGTCTTTGCCACTGACTCAGGACATGACTTACCGGCATAGTGAGAGATCTTAGACTTGAAAGGTTGGATTTAAAAAAAAAAAAAAAAAAAACTTGGACTTGAGCCCCGCCCCTTCAGAGTGATTTCCAGGCTCTGCCTGGGTGCCTGGGCGGGGAGGGGCATGAGCTCCTGCTCTGCGCCCACCCAGCAGGCCCGGCTCTGTGAGCCTGTGCTTGTTGCCTCAGTTTCCTCGTTGGCCATCCACAGACCCCTCCCCCAACCCTGCTGAGGCCCACGCTGGCTGGGATGAGGTCACTTCCATTCCTGCCAGACCCACACCCCTGCCCCTGTCACCTCCTCAATGCTTCTCCTCCCCTTTACCTCTTGCAGAGATTTTGATTCGCTTTCCAAGGACAATGTCTTCGAGAATAACCGTTTGGTGAGTCCCCAAACAGATGGAAGGCTTAGAGGCTGTGAGTGTGTGGAGGGGGGCGGGGTGGGCAGGGGTTCTGCAGAGTAGGAGCTGAGGTGAGGGGCTCCTGGACCGGCTCTCTGAGAAGCTGCTTTGCACTGGGGCCCTCGCTGCTCCTCTCCCCACCCCCCTTCTTCCTTCTGGCCCATTTATTCCTGGGGCACCCTGTGCGGCCAGAGCTGAGGGGAGCCCATAGCCCTGGACCCTTTATCCCAATGAGGGAAGCCGGGCCTGGGCTGCCTAACCCTGCCTCCTCCTCTTCCTGTTCCGGCCGCTTTTGCACCCCCCCCCCCCCCCCCCCCCCCCCCCCCCGCACCTGCCCCCACTCCCACCCCTGCCTCTCTCCCCCCACCTTCCCCCACTCCTACTCTTGCCCCCCCAACTCCCCCTCCCCCCACCCCACCCCCTGCACCTGCCCCTCACCCCAGGCCTTTGAAGTGGCTGAGAAGGAGCTGGGGATCCCCGCTCTCCTGGACCCCAATGACATGGTCTCCATGAGTGTCCCTGACTGCCTCAGCATCATGACCTACGTGTCCCAGTATTACAACCACTTCGCCAGCCCTGGCCAAGGTGAGAGGGGGCCAGCCCTTTAGGGAGGCTGGCCCTGGGCGTGGGGCTGGGGAGGTGCCGGGCTGCGGAGCCCAGAAAACAGCACATCATTTATTCACTGGATCATTCATTCAGTCGTTGAAATAGGGAGTGAGTAAGACAGCACTGTGCTGGGCCCTGGGGTTGCTGGCTGCCCTCGTGCGGCCCGCAGTCTTCTGGGCAGCAAACCCCTCAACCAATCACTGAACGAGACTAAAGGTAGACAAAGTAGGGTGCGCGTTCATTCGTTCATTGCTGTGAGTTCCCCTCTCTGGTGCCCCCCCCCACTTCCTGTTGGCAGACACTTCCCTGGGGCTTTTCCTCCAAGGCCAGCAAGTGGCCCTGTGGGGCTGTGGTGCAGCGTTGTCCCCAGAAATGACCTTCAAGGTCTGAGAACTGAGAGGCTGGGGACCTGGGGTGGGGGTTGAGGGAACCACAGGGTGCTTCTCTGCTCTGAGTCATCACTGGGTGGCTCCTGAGCCTCCCACCTGGGGCATCCTCCTGCAGGAATCTCTCCTGGGGACAGCTGGGCCTCTCCTTGTGCAGAGAAGAAATGGGCCCAGAGAGGAAGCAAGGAGGTCAAGGTCACGCCACAGGAAAGCTGAATGGCAGGACTAGAATCCAGGTGTCCTGACACCTGTGCTGCGTCCCTGGGGGCCTTGCCCCTCCCCTCTCCCGTTTTGGTCCTTCCCCTTGCCTCGGCTCTCCATGTGGACAATCTCAGCCTGTCTCTTTAAGAAAAAGTGTTCTACTAAGTCAGGGTTTTTATTTTTATTTTTCATTTTTTTTCTTACTAAGAGCAAAACATGCTTACTGTAGAAAATTGAGAACGTAGCAAAGAGCATAAAAATTAAGATAACCTGTTACCTGCCCCCCCAACGAGAGATCAATATTATAGTTGAACAAATAACATTATGTGTGTTTTAGTAGAAATCAAAATGAAAGTATTTCCCGGCCCCTGAGTCTTTGGTGAGAGGCAGTAGGGTGGAAATTAAGAGCATGGGCGTCATTGACTATCTGGATGACAATGGGCCACCATGGTCACCTGTCTGCCTCAGTTTCTCCTTTGCAAGGCAGATAAGAACAGTGCCCCATCTCTGAGGGTTGATATGAAGAGTAAGTGAGGAAGTGTGCACCTGTGTCTGGCCCTTATTTAGGGCTCAAGGTTCACATTATTATGACTCCTTTATTTCACTGGTTAGAGTGTAGCTTGCTTACCTAGAATCACAATTCAGTCTCACCCTCTGGAAGGTTCCCTGTCTCCAAACCCTAATCTCTTTCAACTAAGCTCTTTTCTGGAGGGCCACCCTTCCGGGGACCTGCGAGGCGGGAGGGGTGGGCCCCACAGTACTGTTGGTGGTGCCCGCTGGGTTCCTGGGTTCTCATGGGGCACCCCGGGCTGAGGGCAGCCCTGGTGGGCCCAGCTCCCCTAGCCGTGTGTGGGAGGGGGCACCCCCCTGGGCTTGCGGGGGTTCTTATTGATAAAGGTACAGTTTGTGCTTCTCATACAACTTGGCCTCTAAATGCAAACCGTTTGTGTCCCACCCACTGCTCCACCAAAGGAAACAGCAGTGTGTTCCCACCCTGGAGGCAGAGCTGGCTGTGAGACTCCCCCAGATGGTCCTGGGCTCTACTTTCTGGGCGACTAGAAGGATTTCAGGGGCGATCTGGACCAGACTTGACTTTCCCTGGACTGGGTCGCTCTGGAACCTGGCCCTGGCTAAGACACAGCACCATGCTGAGTGTTTGCTGGTGCCAGGCTCCATGGTGCCGGTGACCCTGGGCCCAGCCGCTGACCCTTCCTTCCAGGAGCCACGGTGTGGTCTGGGACCAGAGCATGAGTGAAGGACACCCAGCGGCTGTGTGAAATTGCAGTCACGGGGGGGCAGGGCGAGTGTTATCCAGATAAAATCCAGCTTCTTTTGTGTGTTTTTTTTTTGAGTAGGCCACATGTTGTGCTCCACGCTGGGCATGGGCCCTACTCAAAAGCCCTAAGATCGAATCCTGAGCTGAGATCAAGAGTCAGATGCTTAACCCCCATTCCAGCTTCTTAGTGGGGCCTCTGAGCGTCTCTCCCCACTTAGCTTGAGCCACTCACTGCCCCAGCCATAGGCATACTAAATTTTTTGTGTTTTGAATACATCATATTCCTTCTCTGCCAGCCTTTCTTCCTGGTGATCTTCCAGCCCCAAACTCCCATTTTCTGTTCCACATCTCCCACCCACAAACATTTCTTTCCTACCCATCCTCTGATCTTCACATTTTGCCTCCTCTAAGCAGCCTGCCCTGATTTACCCCAGGTGCTCTTGCGGCCCCCAGCCCTGTGGTGAACACATAAGACTCTGGTCAAAATATTTGGATCACCCCTCCCTCTTCCCCTGCAGACCATCTGTGTTTGGTTCCTGGCTACGTAGCCCCCAGCACCTGGTACTTACTCATTCATTTAACAGATATTTATTGAGCCCCTACGGTGTGCCAGGAACTGTGCTAGGTGCTGGGGAGAGAGCTGAGAATAGGAGGGAGAGAGAGGGAGAGAGCACAAATGAAGAGGTAGTATGATTTCACGGGAGTCCAGTGAAGGAGACAAAATGATGGGATAAAAAGCAGTGGGAGGATGAAGTGGCTATTCAAGATGAGTGGTCACGGAGGACCTCTCTGAGGAGGTGACATTTGAGCTAAACCTTGAACAAAGAGAAGAAGGAGGCCATTTGAAGATCTGGGGAGGAATGTTCCAGGCTAGGGGCAGCAGGGTGTGCTTGCGTGCTTCAAGGGACTGAGCAGGAAGGAGGGGATGACAGAGGGGTGGTGGGGAGTGGTACTTGATGAGGCTGCGGGCTTCCAAAATTTCTGGCTATGACTCATCACACACATTCCCATCACAGTCCAAGTTCACGCACACATGTGTCACTGCAACAAGTTTCAGGAAACGGTTCTTCCCCCTTACCACACGTGATACAAGCCGGGGCGCCTGGCTGGCTCAGTAGGTAGAGCATGCGACTCTTGGGGTCGTGAGTTCAAGCCCCACGTTGGGTGTAGGGCTTACTTAAAAAAAAAAAACAGCAGCATGTGATGCGTGAAGAGATTTTCTATTTCACCTTTTAAATGTGTTGGTTGTAACCGCTAAATTGATTTCCGGGTTTGCTAACAGATTGTGATCTAGTTTGGTAAATGATATTTTAGACAACAGTAAGGAACTTGGATTTTATTCCTAAAATCATCAAATGGTAAAATTGATGTTTTGGGGTATACGGCTTTCTGAATTTTCATTTTTTATTTTCATCCCTGGGGACAGAGTAGGTGCTGCGTGAATATTTGCTGAAGTAATAAAGGAGTGGAGTCTCCGAGGGGGCTGGTGGGCCGGGGTGGGTTCCTTCTGCTGTGAGGGCGTGCGGCCACACCAGCCCATTTTCCTGAACCTGGCGGCCAGCACCACGTGGTTCCTCTCTCTGCCTTCCCTCCCATCCCCTTACCCTGTGGGACGGAAGCTCCTGGTCCTGCCACTTGCTGGGCACCTGCCCATTCTGTGGTTGTACTGTTGCCCTAGCATTTCCACTGCCCGTGTGTGGTCAGAGTCACTGTCCTACTCTGTGGAGGCTCGGGGAGGTTAAGCAGCCTGCCCTTGGCCCTTGGCTTGGAAGAGGAGGTGTCTCCTGGCCTGTGTGAAGTGGGAGCCTGCTCTGGTCCAGCGGTGTTGGGTGGTCTTCCCAAAGGCCATAGCTGTGGAGTTCAAGTTGTAGGCTGGCTGGGGGCCTCCTGGGCCCCAGGGTCTCCACCTTCCTCAGGGTCTCTTTCCTGTCTCTTGGCAGCTGGTGTCTCATCACCTAGAAAGGCCCAGGCACCCTCCTCCCCGCCATCCGAAGCACCTACTCTGGCAGAACCAGAAGACAGGGCTCAGGTAGGCAGATGCCTGGCGGGAGGTGGGGGGGGGGCGGATGAGTGGGTACCATTGCAGTGTTGATTCTTGGTCCTTTCCCCACTGGCTTTGGAAGTAGAGCCTCAGGCTGAGGGGGCATGGGCCAGATTCCGGTCCCATGCTGTGGGCAGGGAACTCCATTCTTTCTCAAGGGCTTGGGACAGGATCAGGAGACACCAGACCTAGGAAGGGGGCATCAGACAGTCTGCCACACTGACTTTGTCATCCTGGCACTGACAGGATTTACACATGTAATGTAGCAAATACTCCCCTTGATTCCTGTCGAGACAGAGCTTTTAGCTTCCTGGCGTGATTCCATTTTGTCCTCTCAACAACACTGGGGGGTGGGTGGTATGAGTCCTGTTAGATGAGTAGCCTGAGGCTCAGAGAGGTTTGGTCATTTGTCTAAGGTCAGTGTCCCGCTCCAGGATGCTTAGAGTGACACCAGCCCTTCACATCTGGATAGCACTCCACGGGGTACAGAGGGCTTTTTCCACCTGCTCCCTGACTTGTCCTTGCTGGAGGAGCTCCTGAGGGCCAGGGAGCCTGGCCCAGCGTGGGTGCCCAGTGAGGTGGGGCTGAGACAAGCAGGGGTTATAGGATTCCACTGGCAGGTGGGAACCCAAGGCCCAGGGACATGAGCAGCTGGCTCGGGTCACGGTGCTTGGAAGTGGAGAAACTGGGATTTAAACCCTGCTGCATCTGTAGGAGGGGCTGCAGAGAAGGCAGATGAGGTGGGCCTAAGACAAGGTCAGGCGTCAGGGGCCAACCTGCAGGGATGGGACAGGGGTCAGAGCAGCCGAGGCAAAGGGAGGTTACACAGCCAGGAGCCGTCTTTCTGGCAGAGAGGGCCCCAGAAACTGGAAGTCAGGATTTCTGTTTCCATTCTGACTCAGTGACCTTGAGCAAGTCTTTCCTCCGCTCTGGGCTTCAGTTTCCTTATCCGCCAAGTGGCGACTGTGTCCCTCCCTCTGTTCCTCCGGGGCTCCGATGATGTGCATTAGCACCGTGAAGCTTGTGTGCACTTGGGGGACAGCGGCTGCTGGGAGGGGAAGGGGGCTGTTCTAGAACAGGGAGGCTGGTGACCACGGCCCGGCTCCCCTCTGCCCGCCCCGTTCCCTGCAGGGCGAGGAACTGTTGTCGGGCAGCCTGTCGGAGCAGGGCGCCCGGCAGACCCCCAGCAGCACGTGTGCCGCCTGCCAGCAGCACGTGCACCTGGTCCAGCGCTACCTGGCCGAGGGCAAGCTGTACCACCGCCACTGCTTCCGGTGAGTGGCCGTGGGAGCCTGGGGGGCGGGGGGGCGAGCCCCCCCGCACCCCATTTCCAAGGAGGCGAGCTTCTGTGGATCCAGGCTCACAGTGTGCCAGGCACACTGCGGGGCTCTTCATGCCAGAGCATCTTGCTCATCAACCCCTTTTACTGATGAGCCAACTAAGGCTTAGTGAGGGGAGAAGCCGCGTCAGTCACGGAATCAGAGGAGCTGAGCTCAGGGGTTCTGCCTCCCACGCCGGAGCTCTCTGAGGCCAACGACCCGATGACGATTAAGGAGCTGCTTTAGAAGCCCTTGAAAAAAGAAAGGATTTTTTAAAAAATCACAATAACAACTTGCTTTCAATGTGTGGCTCCCGGAAGAAGCCAAGTTTAAAGAAAATGAAGTAAGAGACAGGGAAAAGACAAATAACTTAGAACATGTATGAAAACATTTTTTAAAAAATATTTTATTTATTTATTTGAGAGAGAGCGTGAGCAAGAGAGAGAAATCAGGAGCGGGGTGGCAGCGACAGAGGGAGAAGGAGAAGCAGACTCCCCGCTGAGCAGGGAGCCCCATGCAGGGAGCCCGGGATCATGACCTGAGCTGAAGGCAAACACTGAACTGACTGATGCGCCTCTGAAAACATTTTCTATGTTGCAAAAGAGCAATCAGAAAATAATCAAGGGTGGGCGCCTGGGTGGCTCAGTTGTTAAGCGTCTGCCTTTGGCTCAGGTCATGATCCCAGGGTCTTGGGATGGAGTCCCGCATCAGGCTCCCTGCCCCACATCAGGCTCCCTGCTCGGCAGGGAGCCTGCTTCTCCCTCTCCCACTCCCCCTGCTTGTGTTCCCTCTCTCGCTGTCAAATAAATAAATAAAATCTTAAAAAAAAAAAAATAGTCAAGGGAAGCCAGCGACTGAGTTCCAACATGCATTCGACTATGGGTTAGCATGTGGGTGTGTGTCTGTGGGTGTGTGTATGTGTGTCTCTGTGTCTCTGTGTGTCTGTGTATGTCTGTGGGGGTGTGGTGGCCAGGCCTGGAACCCCAGAGGCCTGACTGCAGAACTGAGGTGTCACGAGGGCAAAGCTCAAGCAGGGGCATTGTCATACTAACACATTCACATTTGGCCATGAGGACAGCATTTTAAGGACTTTTTCCAGTGACCCCCAGTAAGAAATACATTTGACACTGTGACCAGTTGTGAATACACACCTGAATAAGACCCCACATAAATAGATGCACAACTGGAATCAGTATTTCCTCAAACAGTATATTCTTAGTTGTGCGATACACTCCGATATGTTGTATTTTATTCTATTTCATAAAAAACAAAACCAAAAAAACCTTGCTTGGTTGACAACAACTCAGTCGGTTTCCTGAGCCGCTGGTGACCGACGGCCCCGGCACTGGCTGGTACCTCCGTGTGGGGGCAAACCTTTGCTTCCTCTTATAGCACAAACTGAAGGCATGTTTCACAATTTATGTTGCTTGATTTCATGTGATTTTATTGTTCTGTGCTTCTGGCGGTTACCTGTGGGTTGCCTCCTCCTGTGGGAAGTCCGGGGTACAAGATCCAGGCTGGCATACGCAAGGAGGGAGGGCAGGAACAGCGGGGGCTCCTGGGGGAGGAGGAGCCAGTGTCCCAGGCCGGGTGCCCGGCTCCGTTGAAGCCCCCTCCCCACCTTCTCCCTGGCAGGTGTCGGCAGTGCTCCAGCACCCTGCTCCCCGGAGCTTACAGAAGTGGGCCTGAGGAAGGCACCTTTGTGTGCGCGGAGCACTGTGCCAGGCTGGGCCCCGGGGGGGCGGTCGGGGGCCAAGGCCGGGCCCCATCTGCAGCCAAAGCAGCAGGAACTTGCAGAAGAAGTCAGGGATGTGGACGGAGGCGGCACGGGTGCTAGTGCGCCCGCAGAGGCTGAGGTGGCTGTCCCCAAGGCCAGCCCCGAGGCCCGGCCCCAGATCCCCACCAAGCCCCGGCTTCCAAGCAAACCACAGGAACTGGGCAGCTTCCCGGCCGGCCGCCCCACGCCTGCCCCGAGGAAGGCCCCCGAGAGCCCAGCCCTGACACCCCCCACGCCCCGGCCCCGGTCCAGTCTGCAGCACGAGAATTTGGCCGAGCAGGGTGGCAACAGTGGCCTAGTAAATGGTGAGCAAGGGTCCAGCGGGGGCCGGGCACTTGCAGGGGTGCGTCTGGTGTTTAAATGCACGTGTGCATTGGGAGTATTCGTGTGTCCGCATTCTCTGGGCCTTGTTCAGCTCCACACGCACAGGGAGGCCCGCTCTGAGCCCAGGCCCTGGGGACAGATCTTGTTTAGGCCTATTTGTGCCTTCGAGGCCCTGCCAGGCTCAGCAGGGAGACAAGCACAGATAATAGAGATGTCTATAGAATGTGGAAGGCTGTTAAGACAGGGGAAGCAGAGGCTACCGTGGGTTTCATGGGGGACACTCGGGGGTCAGGGGAGGCTTCGAGGCCGAGTTAAGGCAGTGTTTCCTGTCCACGTTGGGGGAAGTGTCCGAGGGACACTTGGGTCCCCCCTTCTCGGCTGAAATGCTGATGGGGTTTCCAGGTATCCTGGCCTTGCCCCCATGACCATTCTTTACCTGTCACCTTTGGTGCTTATCTAATCTCCCCGAGTGCTGGGCGGTGTCAGGTGGGAGGTGAGGTGGCCCTGGCCACCTGGAGTCCCGGCTCTGCCAGGTAGAAAGGGAGGGCACACCGCGGCTCCCCAGTGCTCAGCTCTGCTGCCCAGCCCACAGCCGCCCATGAAGAAGGCCTGTCTGACTCTCCTTTCCCATCTAGGAAGGCTGCACGAACCCCCTGTCCCCAAGCCGAGAGGGACGCCCAAGCTGTCAGAGAGGTACGCTGGCTCAGAGAGGCTTTCCCATGTTGGAGGCTCTCGTGCTGGGAATGGGGGTGCCCCTGGGGTCTGGGGGGTGGGCAAGGCTTCCGTGGACACATGACTCACCGGCAGAGCCTCCCAAGGACATGCAAGGCTCATTCTGGGTGGGTGACGCTGGGGCTGAGTGCTGGGCCCACATCTCCTTCCCCGGGTCTCCCCTGGGGTCCCCACTCCTGTGGGGAGGAGTCCTGGTAGAGACAGTGCCTCTGGAGCCCCTAGACCTCTCCACGCCCCTGCTGCTCTGTGACATGGGAGACGTAGGCCTCACTCACAGAGCTGTTGTGAGAAGTGGCAGCTGGGTCTAGAAAGACCCAGAAAAGCTCCGCTGTGTACCTGGCTCAGGCCCTCCAGCCTGGGACTCTGTGTCCCGCTTGAGGACAGCTATTTCCAGCTATTCTTTGGAGCTGTGCGTCCCCTGGGTAGTCTCAGGGGGAGAGTGGGCCCCAGCTGTAATAGTAGTTAATGCTCAATGAGCACTTGCTGTACGCAAGGCACTGTGCCCATTGGAGCCTTAGAATGCCCTTGTGAAGGTTACTGTCCCCATTTCCAAGATGGGCGACTATGGAGAGGGGCCAGGTGACTTTCTCAGCCTCACACAGAGAGCCCCTGTGGGTCCTTTCCTGGGCCAGGCTGATGGAGGCTGTGATGTGAAGGTTCACTCTCCCCATTTCAGCTTTGGGCCCAGACTGACCCCACAGGGCTGGGGGAGAAGGGTGCAGTTTCTCATCCACTCTCTTTGAAACGGACTTAAAACTCTCCAGAGAGAGGAGGATGCTGCCCCCCTCCCCAGTGGTTTCTGCCTCTTCCCACCTCCGTCCAGGACACCAGCCCCCAGGAAAGACCCCCCATGGATCACACTGGTGCAGGCAGAGCCAAAGAAGAAGCCAGCCCCCCTCCCCCCGAGCAGCAGCCCCGGCCCTCCGAGCCGGGACGGCAGGCAGGTGGAGAATGGAGGCGTGGAGGAGGCGGCCCAGCAGAGCCAGGTGACAGGTGGCCCGGAGCCCAAGCCCTACAACCCCTTTGAGGAGGAGGAGGAGGAGGACCCGCCAGCTGCACCCAGCCTGGCCGCTGGCCCTGCCCTGGCCCACTCGGCTGAGTCCACACCCAAGTCCCTGCACCCCTGGTATGGCATCACCCCCACCAACAGCCCCAAGACAAAGAAGCGCCCTGCCCCCCGCGCGCCCAGTGCGTCCCCACTTGGTGAGTGCCATCTCTGGGAGCTCTCCTGACAAAATGCTGGGTTTGGGGGCCGGAGTCAGCCCAGGGCTGGGGAAGGCTGTGTGGTGCAGTGGGGTCCCCGCCAGGCTGGGGGCCATGTGTGTCCTCACAGCTAATTCGAGAACACACCTGTGGGGTAGGTAGCACGCTCCCATCTTGCAGGTGAGGAAGGAGGCACAGAGAGGGGTTTGCCCAAGGCCTCACAGCACTGAGCAGTAGAGGCAAGATTTGACAGGCAGGAGGCCAGAGGCTCTACTCTATCCTCCTAACCCTCCGTAACCCGCCTCACGGTAAGGTGTCGTGAGGATGCGATGTGTGCCTCAGTGAGGGGCTCAGCACCGCCCGGCTCCTGGAGAGCATGTGGCTGGGGTTCGCTTGAGTCCTGCCTGTCTAGTCACTACCCTCCTGTCACCGGGCACCTTGGGCTCTGACCTGGCTGTGTGTGACCTTGAGCAGCTCCTTCCCTGTGTCTGCCTTCAGTGTCCCCATCTGGAAGACAGTGGTGGTGGGCCAGCCTTGGGGCGCTGTGCCTCCCTCCAACCATGCCAACTCATCCAGGCTCGTTGTAGTTGTTTTTTAAAAAGATTTATTTATCTATTTGAGAGAGAGACCAGGAGAGAAAGAGAAAGAACGAGGGAGAGAAGGAGAGAGAAGTGGGGGGAGGGGCAGAGAGAGAGAGGGAGAGAAAATCCCAAGCAGATTCCTCACTGAGCGTGGAGCCCGACTCGGGGCTCGATCCCAGGACCCTGAGATTATGACCTGAGCTGAAATCAAGAGTCGGACGCTCAGTTGACTGAGCCACTCCAGGCACCCTCCCCCCCCATTGCAGTTTTTGTCTGTCACCATCTTGCGGACTTCTCAGGCCTCAGGCCTGGTCACCTTCCATCATGGCTGGGGTGCGGCCGCCTCCAAGACCTCAGCTGGAGCCCCTCGGACAGGGGGGCTGAGAGCACATGAGACATGCCTGGAGGCAGGTGCTCAGGTGGCCCAGGGCTCCCCGCTCCGGCCCCTGCCGGAACCCCGGGGCCCTCCAGCTATGGGGGGTGGGCAGCTGTAGGACGCTGAGTGCTGAGTCACACACAGCTGTGTCAGCCCCGGCCCTTCTCGGGCAAGTGCCTTCCCTCCGAGTCTGCCGCCTCATCTGGAAAACACAGATGGCGATGCTTTGGGGCATGGTATCCATCACCCACACGAGGATTCACGTGGCCCGGGCAGTGCCTGGCCAGGGCCGGCGCTGCAAGGGCTGCCGGTTCCTCCCCTCTCCTGCTGGTCCGACGCACAGGACGGGCCAGCCTGGGCTCTCTGTGCCCTCTCCTCCCCTGGCAGCCTCGCCTCCTCCCCTGGGCTTTTGCTTTGGGTCATATCAGACCTGGGAGGGGCAGTGGAGGCAGCGGGCACGTGCAGGAGGAAGTGAGGGGCAGTGCGGGAACCCAGGACTACAGATGTGCCCTGAGGTGGCGCCCCAGAGCCCAAAGGGTGGGCGCTGAATGCGGACAATTCGGCGGCTACTGACCTTGGTCCTGTCATGCCCTTGCTGCTCTCTGGGCCCCAGCCTTGTCCGCACATGGAAGCACTCTGTGGAGAGGGGAGGGTGTTGGAGGGGCTGTGCCTCCTCGCGGGGCGCTCATGCACTCACTTGTTTGTTCAGCTCTGCACACTGCCCGCCTGTCACACTCAGAGCCGCCCTCGGCAGCCCCGTCGCCAGCCCTCAGTGTGGAGAGCCTGTCCTCCGAGAGCTCCAGCCGGACCCCCTCTGGGGAGCTTCTGGAACCCCCAGTTGTGCCCAAGAGCTCCTCAGAGCCTGCAGTCCATGCCCCTGGCACCCCTGGGACCTCTGCCAGCCTCTCTGCCGGCTCCTCCTCCCTGTCCTCCTCTGGGGAACTGGTGCAGCCCAGCGCAGACCAGACACCTCAGGCCAGCCCTGGCCTTGCCCCCGGTACTAGGGGCAGCCCGGCTCCCCAGCCAGCCAAGCCCTGCAGTGGCGCTGCCCCCACCCCTCTCTTACTGGTTGGAGACAAGAGCCCCGTGCCTTGCCCTGGAACCTCGTCCCCGCAGCTCCAAGTAAAGGTGAGTTCTCCCCCTTGCTAAGAGCTGCTGTCCTGTCTGGTCTCAGGGCGGGAATGTCCAGGGTCTTCCATCTTTGCTAGCATCTGACTTCTTTTCTGACCTTGCTGTGTCCATCTGCCCATTCCTGACTCGATTCACTGAGGCACAGATTGATCTGTCCGTCTTCCCATCCATCTCCTCACCCGTCCACCTGCCTGGCCCTTCATTGAGTGATGCGTCTGGGCACCTGTTTACTTGCCTATCCCATGTACGTGCCCATCCGGGACCCATTCCCCCAGCCACCATCCATCTTCACATCCTTTCTTTGATGAGGCCCTGTTTGTGCCGAGGCTCCCTCCCAGGCCCTCCTTGCACTCCGTCTCCTCTCAGGGGCACCCATCTCAGGGAGCTCATTCTCCAGGTGACCTTTGTGGCTGTTCATGTAATTGTTCCTCAGTTCCATGCCGGGAAGCAGGGGTCATCAGGGGTCCAGGACACTCCTCTGGGCATCTAGTTCCTGGGGGCGCCTCTCTTGTAGCCATAGTACTTTCAGGCCACCAGGTTCTGACTGTGCATGTCTGTGCACACTCTGCAGCCCTTGAAGGCCCAAGGCTCGTGTGGCCCCGGGTGGAGGGTGTCAGGACAGCTCAGGTCGGGTGGCAGTAGTCATGGTCTGATGGACCTGACAGAGGTTAAGTCTGGGGAGCGGGCTGAGCTGTTGGTCCAGCTCTTACCTGTGCACCTTTCAGACATTTCACCTGCCCAGCAGCCTCCTGTCCAGCTCTGCTACCCACCTGCTGTGTGACCTTGAGAAGGCCCTGCCCCTTCTGTGGGCCTCAGACTGCTCTGAGGAGGCCCAGGGTTCCCTGGTGGGGGCAGGTGGGGGAAGAGGTCAACTTTGGACACCCCGCCCTCCACCTTCAGGCGGTGCCTTTTATTTATTTATTTATTTATTTATTTATTTATTTATTTATTTATTTATTAAAGATTTTTATTTATTTGACAGAGAAAGGGAAGGAGAGAGACAGAGAAAGCGAGAGCACAAGCAGGGGGCATGGCAGAGGGAGAAGCAGGCTCCCTACTGAGCAGGGAGCCCGATCCCAGGACTCTGGGATCATGACCTGAGTCCAAGGCAGACGCTTAACAGACTGAGCCACCCAGCCTGCAAGGCTGAGAACCCCTGGGGACTCAGGGGCCTCGGGCTGTTTGACCCTGCTGGGCCCCTCCACTTGTTTATTCAGCTCTGCATACTGTCCGCCTGTCACACTCAGAGCCACCCTCTGCAACCCCGTCGCTGGGGTTGGGTCTCTCCAGGTGCCGCCCTGTGGAAACCAAACCCCGTCTCCCTGCCATGCCTGGACTCAGGCCCTGGTACTTTCCCTGCTCCAGAAATCCCAGGGCAACTGCTAGCCTGAAAGAATCTCTCCATGGGCTAGTGCGGGTGAGCTGAGCAGGGCTCCCTCCAGCCTCCCTCAGCTGCTGGGAGAAAGTTGGGTAAACACTCCTGGGAGCACTGCAGGCCTCAAGCGAGACCTTTCCATGGGGCCCATCACGACGCCTCTGTGTCCGATGAGCTGGGGAAAGCAGTTGGAGGACATTGGTGTTGCCCGTGGGGCAGGCGAGGCCCCGTCCCGGTGCTGGGGCTGTCTGGCTGTGCTGACCTCAGGGGGCAGGCTCTCCACAGAGAGTCAGACAGATGGAGGGCTGGGGTGCATGGAGCGGGGTGCAGCAGAGGGGAGGGGTCTTTCCCGGGGAGGGGTCTTTTCTGGACAGGGAGGAAGGAAGCTACTCTTTTCCTCCATCTCCTGGCCAGATGGAAGGTGGGATCCCTGCTTCCTGTCAGGGTGACACGGGCCAGGAGCTTCATTTCCCTCTCTGAGCCTGAGAGTCCCTGCTAGAAAGGGGTGGTTGTGAGGCCTGAGTGAGTGAGCATAGCCGTCTGGCCCTAAACTCCACGTCCTCACCACTGCCCCTGGTGCTAGACGGCTGCCCCGGCCCTAGCTTGGGCCCTTAGGAAGTGCATGACCTTGAGCCAATTAATTAAGCTCTCTGAATTTGAGTGTACTCAGCTATAAAATGGTATTACAATAAAATGGCATTACAATACCCATTTTGCAGAGGGGTTGGGAGAGCAAGAGCATATAAAGGTATCCAGTGCAGGACTGGAGGTGGGAAGCCCGTGGAAAGGGAAATGTTTGTCGAATGCCTCAGTGCACCAGAGCCGGAATGCTAGGGGTCTCTCTCTCTCTGCCTGGGCTGCCCCCTCCCGGCCTCCAGGCCCTAGTCCCATGTAGTCAGGCTGCTGGGGGTCTTACTGCCCCCCTCCCCAGACTTATCCTCTGCCATTCTCCCTACCTTTAGTCTTCTTGCAAGGAGAACCCTTTTAACCGGAAGGCGTCACCCACAGCATCCCCAACCACAAAGAAGACCACCAAGGGATCCAAGCCAGCCAGACCACCTGCCCCAGGACACGGCTTCCCCCTCATCAAGCGCAAGGTACCAGCCAGCAGCCTGCAGGCACTCAGCCGCCTCAGGCGTCCTGGGGACTCTTGAGAGGATGGGCTGTCTGGGTAGCTGCCTTTGGGGGTGCTGAGAGGGGCACTTGGGGGGCCCCGATGGGAAGGTTTAACTTGCAGCCAGGGGGATTTTGAGCAGACCAGCTGTTCTCAAGCTGGAGCGTGGCTGGTGCATTTCATTTGTTACTAATAATAGTTTAAAGATGGAAGCACTCACATGATACACTTGGAGTTAAACAGATTAGAGTGTTCTTGAGTTTCTCTCTCTCCTAGGGTCACTCTCTTACATTGTGATATCATTTCTGGAGTGGTAGAGGAGGGGGGCGGGTTGCCACGAGAGGCAGGAGGTTGTGCGTCCCTCTGGGGGTGCCTTTCAGCGCTGGGGCCGGGGGCACGGAGGGGTTGGGGCCCCCCCTCCAGAGCGGCCCTTCCCCACACTGGGCTCCTGCACCCGGCCGCGCTGGGTTGTGGGACAGAGCCCAGGCCCAGGGTCTGTGGAGGCCAGTGCTGGCCCGTGAAACGTCAAAGCGCCCGGCAGTGGGCAGGTGGGACGGGTGGGCTGTCCTTCCGGTGACCGGGGCGTTGTCGGGCAGGTCCAGGCCGACCAGTACATCCCCGAGGAGGACATCCATGGAGAGATGGACATGATCGAGCGTCAGCTGGATGCCCTGGAACACCGTGGGGTCCTGCTGGAGGAGAAGCTGCGTGGCGGCGTGACCGGTGCGGGAGCTGCTGGGAGGGCCTGGTGGGTGGGGTTTAGGGGTGGCAGGAGCCTCCCTCCCCAACGGCTCCTTTGAGGGCTGCAGGTGCTGCCAGCCCTGGCCTCAGTGGGCATCTGGCTTCCAGAGGGCCGTGAGGACGACATGCTGGTGGACTGGTTCAAGCTCATCCACGAGAAGCATCTGCTGGTGCGGCGGGAGTCAGAGCTCATCTATGTGTGAGTCCTCCCCGCTCAGCTCCCCTGCTCCGCTCCCCAGAATCCGTGGAGTTCAGCACGGAGCATCTTCCCTGCCTTCACTCCTCACTGACGGCCCCAGGGCAGGGCAGTCGTGTGAGGGGTAGGGCTAATAGTTGGCTGTTCCCACCGTCTAGTTTCAAGCAGCAGAACCTGGAGCAGCGCCAGGCGGATGTAGAGTATGAGCTCCGGTGTCTTCTCAACAAGCCAGGTGAGCGTGGCCCCCCTGCCCCCCGCACTCCTCTGGCACCTGCCCAGGTCTTACCCTACCGGCCCTGATGGAGACGCACAGGCAGGCTCTGGGAACAGGGCCCGAGGCGGGAGAGGGCCAGGAGGTGCAGTCTGGGTCATAGCAGGTGATAAATAGGCTCGAGTGATGGCAGGAGAAGGAACAGCATGGCCACTGTGGGGGTGTGGCCTCATGTGGCATCAGGGAAGACAGGCTCTCAGAGAGCACCAGGCTCAGGAGCAGGCTGGCCTATCTCCTGGGACTTGTGGGTAGACAGGTCCCCGCTGGGGAGAGCCTTCAGGCTCCAGGGCCCAGGGCTGCCCCAGATGAGTGGGTGACAGCAGAAGCACCTTGGGGCTCATGGCCTTGAGGCCAGAGCACGGCCAGACTTCACCAGCGGTGGGAGGGAAAGTGGAAGGATCCCGTGCACACTGGCTCAGAAGGACTCTGGGGGTGCTGGGCGGGATGTTGGAGGGGGCAGCAGGAGGGATTGGGTGTGGAGTTACATAGTCCTCTGTTCTGCCGTGTTCCACCGCGAACATGCTGGAGGTGGGCCGGGGCTGGGGAAGGGGGGCTAGGCAGGTTTCTTAGCCTTACTGAGCCTTAGTGGCTTCAAGTGTAAGACAGGATGAAGGTACCCACCTTGTAGGGTATTCCTGAGTGGAAACACTCTGTGCCCCCCGAGGGGCTGGTGGTTGATGGTTATTATGTGGCTGAGTTGGGGTCTGTGGCCTTGATGTGTAGTTGAGCCACAGGTAGGCAGAGAGACCACAGGAGCCAGGGCTTTTGGCCACTTCCTCTGGCCCAGACCATGGGCTTCACTGTTTCCATTTCACAGATGAGGAAATAGAGAGCCAGAGGTTGAGTCTTGCCCATTGGTGGTGGCGCTGGGCTTCTAATCCCTGTCTCTGACTTGGCCTGTCCCAGCGCACGCAGCCCCTCCTGCCTGCTGGGACAGTGGCCCTGCCTCTCCACTGACTAGGGAACTTGGGAGGCTGGATAAGACCCAGAGGCAGAAGTGTCTCTGGAAGCCACTCCACCGCCCTCTATGAGTCATGGCCACATCTCCTGGAGTCTGGGGCACAGCCCCCACCAGAGGGAGCCACAGTGAGGCCCTGTGGCTGGAGTGGGCGCGGTCCGTCCTGTGTGTGCGCCCTAGGCCAGCCTGGCCCTGGGCTTACTGTGTTCCTTTTCCAGCCTTCTGTGTGATGGCTGCACGTCCTGGGCTTGTCATCCTGTCCCAGAGTTTGCTTTTGCAGGGTGGGACTGATTTATAAGGCCCCAGGTCGGTTAGGGACCCATAAAACACCATAAGGGCTGTAGCTTGGGGGTATCAAGCTACCCAGGATCAAAGACCGGCTCCACTCTTGCTGTGTGACACTGGTCAAGGACCCAACTTCCCTGAGCCTCAGTTTCCCCACATGTAGTGTAGGGACATGACCTCCCCAGGCCCCACATTTGGGAAGTAGCAGAGGGAGTTGAATTGGGATGGTGACTCCTGTGCTGTCCCCAGAACTATGCTGGGCCACCTGCTCCTGAGCTCTGGCAAGGTGAGGTGTACGGACATTGGAACATGACCAGGTGCGGGGGGGGGGGGGCCTCAGGATGTTTATTTCAAGATAGGGAGGCCTGTGGTGGCAGACGTTATAGAGGGAAGGCTGGTGTGGGCACCCTTCCCCTGGGAGCCTATGGGCTGGATGAAAGGGAAACTAAGGTGCAGGGGGGCCCTTGGGTGGTCCTGTGGGATGGCTCGGGTTCTTGAGAGGAGGCTGGTGGGGTAGCAGGTATATGACACCTCGGGGACACCTGGCTGGGCTCACCACCTCCAGGGTCCTGTCCCCTCTAATCTGCCCTCCTTCATGGCATTATGTGAAGATCCCAATATGCCACTTGGGTTACATTGTTTCTATTGCATAAGGACCCCTGGGGTCCCCTGTTACCTCCCCAGCCCTGCCCCGCTCTGGCCAGCCCACCCTTGGAGGCTCTCAGCAGGCCCAGCCTGAATCCTGCCTCCAAGAAACCATCTAGTGAACATTCGTTGAATGAATGAGCAAAAGCAGGAGCCCCTTTGGCAAGAGCTCGTCTCTGTTCTCAGAACATGTGTTGTGCTCGCCATCCCGGAGCCCCCTTGAGGGGTTTTTTGGTAGGCAGCCTAGTATCCTTGGTCTCTTCCTGATCAACCTTCATTTCCCCCAAAACCTGTCATCCCTCCCCAGGTGGGCCCTCCTTCCTGTCCTCACAGGATCCAGGATGGGGCTAGGTTGCAACCACCTCAGCACTTAGGCATTGGTCCCTGGCTTCCTGGGAAGGCAGGAGGGGCTTCCCCCGACTCAGTTCCCCAACTTTTCTCCTTGGGCAGAAAAGGACTGGACAGAGGAGGACCGGGGCCGAGAGAAGGTGCTGATGCGGGAGCTCATGGCCCTCATCGAGCAGCGCAACGCCATCGTCAACTGCCTAGATGAGGACCGGCAGAGGTGAGGTGGCTGGTGGGGGGGGGGGGGGGCGGTCCCTGCAGGACGGGCCCAGGACGGGCCCAGAACGGGCCAGGCCAGCCCTGCCCTCATGGCCAGCAACCCCAGCACACCCTCCCTCAACTTGTGGGAGGGACTCCGGCTGGAAGGGACTGAGAGAATATGTGTCCTTCCTCCTGTGGGACACTCAGCTTCCCTTTCTCATTTCAGGGAGGAGGAGGAAGACAAGATGTTGGAAGCCATGATCAGGAGGAAAGGTGAGGCCCCTCCCAGGGCTCTGGTCCACCCGAACTGTGGGAGGGCAGGGGGCAGGTTGAACAGAGGGTTGGAGCGGGCGCTCCAAGGATGGTGTGTGCAAACTCTTAGCCTCTCTCTTAAAGGGAGAGCCATGTGTGGCGAGGCAGGCTAGCCTAGAGGCAGGAAGGCTGTGGCCTGGGCTCAGAGGGTGGGCTATGGGGAGGGCTGGGGTGGGCAAGGAGCACTTTCCCAGGGCGGCTGCCTGAAGTCAGGAGTTCCTCCTCGATATCTGCAGCTGATCTTGGAGAAGTTTGTGGGTGAGGGGCACCTGGGTGGCTCAAGTCAGTTAAACCCCTGACTCTTGATTTTGGCTGTGGTCACGATCTCATGGTGGTGGATGGAGCCCTGCGTCTGGCTTTGCGCTTAGTGGGGATTCTCTCCCTCTGCCCCTCTCCCCACCCAGGTGCTTGCACACTCTCTCTCTCTCAATAAATAAATCTTAAAAAAAAAAAAAAAAAAAAAAAAAGTTTGTGGGCTGAAACAGCCGTGCCTCCTGAGATAAGATGGTGCCCGGAACAGCTAAAAGAGCACTGGCCTGGGAGTCAGGAAACCTGGTTTCATCTTGGTTCTACCAGTGACTCATTTTGTGGCCTTGTGGTTAGGTCTGGACTCTAGTCAGGCTGCTCGGCTTCCAGGCCCAGCTCTGGAACTTACTAGCTCGGTGACTTGGAGCCCGTCATTTCAGCCGTGCAGGCCTCCCCGTCCTCGGCTGCAGCATGGGGGTGCAGAGTGTTCCCAGGATGGTGCACAGAACGCACTTCGCCCTGGGCCTGGCGCCTGCAGAAAGCTCAGCGGGTGTTAGTCCATTTCAAAGGCCCACAGTTGCCTTGTGAAAACTGAGGGTGAGGCGGATGATTTTTGACGTTCCTTCTAGCTCTGTCAGTGTCCGCGTCAATAAATCCATGCCATGCTTCCGAGCTCCAGATTGCTTTCACAGTTGTTTATTTCTAGATCCTTGCCAAATCACTGGGACAGGGGCATGGTCCCCGTCCTGTGGGCTCACAAAGGTGAAGTGACGTGCCCAAGACTCCAGATGAACTGGAGGAGAGGATCTGGGCCTTTGTCACTGCCCCTGGCCCGCCCCAACGTACTCCCCTTCCCCACATGCTAAGGGCTCCCCTTTCTCTTCTGCAGAGTTCCAGAAGGAGGCTGAACCCGAGGGCAAGAAGAAGGGGAAGTTCAAGACCATGAAGGTGCTGAAGCTGCTAGGAAACAAGCGGGATACCAAGAGCAAGTCCCCAGGGGACAAGAGCTAACAGCAAGGGCAACCAGCTGGGACTTCCACCCCCCCCTGGCGCATACAGCCCCGGGGGTGTGGTGCTCTCGGGGGGCACCCTGCTTCCCATCGGGATCGGTCCCAGGGAAAGATGATGTCAGGGGAGGGGGCCTCTGGGTGACAGCCTCTCCCTCCTCAGGGTCCTCTGGCTGGTCTGGGCCAAAGAATTTTCTTCCCTCTTCTCAGGGCCGCATGTAGCTGCGGCTCAGCCCTGCCCAGTCTGGTTCTGATGACTCCAGATGCTGTGACTGACCCAAGGAGCAAGCAGGGCCCTGAGTCCAGGGAGTGGCGGGGGCTGAGCACCCCTGCCTTGCATCCCACCCACCGCCTGCCTTGACGGGCAGCCCCTGGGTCCCTCTTCCCTTCTGTACCATGTCCAGATGGGATTGTTAGCTGTCAAATTTCTGACCCAAAGGTCCTTCCACTCACGCGGTCTGCCCGTGGTGGACCTCTGGCCCGGGTCTCCTGCCTTCAGGGCTCTGCTGCTCTTGGCAGGCCGCAGGCCTGGCTTGGCCGCACTGGCTTCTTCCCACCCCAGCCCTGGCTCTGAGTCCCCGTTTTCCTTCCCAGTGCAGGTGGCCCTGAATCTGTTTCTCCTCACTCAGGAGCTCTATTTATGAAGTCTAATTAGGTTTGAGCTTGTTACTGTGTTCTCAGACACGAATGGGCCTGATGGACAAATGCCTCCCTCTGTCCCTCAAAGCTCTAGGAGGTGCTTCTCTTGTCTTCCCTCGTTCCATCGGAAACCTCACCCCCCAGGAATTGGGGCTGGGTGGCCATGCTGGGCTGGGTGGGTGCCCTAGAGCTGAGTCCCCAGGGAGGGCCTCTGGGAAACAGGCCCCAGAGGCAGTTCTGGTCCCCAAGCATCAGCAGAGGGAGCTGTGCTTCACAGAGGTGCTAATCCTGGTTCCTTAACACACTGTAGTCTGACCCCTCATTTAGACTTGCCCCCCACCACCCCAGGGTTGGGGGATGGTGGGCCTGTTCCTGGGTATGGTCATCACCAGTCTGTCTTCTCACACTTGACTGTTGTCCGCTCTCTCCCGACCCGTCCCCCCGAAGGACTGATGGCTACTCACCCCTCTGATGGCCATGGGAGAGGAGGAGCCGACGGGGACATTTGCCTTTTCCCCAGGGAATGTGTCCAGCAGCCCTCGGTCAAAGCACTGTTGCTATAAGCTATCTCTGGGGCGCTCCAGGGCCCCCTCCCTCAGCACACCTCTGGGGAAAGTACGCACTGTATTAACTCGTGAGGATTTTCCTCACCAACAATAAATGGAGACAACCTCAGTTGCCAGTGCCCCGGAGCCTTGGGCACTTTGCCCTCAGCCAGGTCCGCCTTCTTCCCTGCCTCCGCCATGCCCTGTGGCCAGGCCTCTCTGGTCGCCCGGGAGGGCGAGTGGGGCTGTCCACGGCCAGGGGCCTTGGCCCCCAGGGCTTGCCAGTGGGCAGGACTCCTCCTCTGCAGGGAGGGGCAGCTCCCACCCCTGCACAGCCCCTGGTGGTCTCCTTCCAAACATGCCTGTTGACCTGGAGCTGGTCACCAACTCCAAAGGCTTTCAGGGCCAGGCAGGTCACACACCTGACCAGGCTGGGCGTAACCTGAGGGGTGGCTCTGGCAGGCTGTCTTGTGTCCGGAGACTCAGGTAGCAGGGACTGAGGTGAACTGAGGTGTCTATGACCCAACTCAAGGGGGAAGTTCTTCCTTCCTTAAGTCAACTGTAGCCTGTGGGAATGCGGGCCCAAGTGTGGCCAGACCTTTCCATTTTTCAAAAGAAGCTAGAAATCCAGACTCTGTGTGTGTGATTTGTAAATGTTGGCAACTAATCTGAATTTAAATCAAGGGTAGGCTGTGTTGTCACGGGTGGGCCCAAGGTGTCCTGGGGTTCTCCAGTTTGCTGCCTCGGAGCTACATGAGGGGGCCTTTGAGGTGGAGGAGAGCTGTCCTTATCATGGTATACCCTCTACCCTCGGGTTCTGGAGGGTATGTGGACACAGGCTTCCCATGGAAATGTTCCTGAACCAGCCCTTGATCTGGCCCCTTCTGCTTACCTGTTTGAGGCTGTGGGGCCATGTTCTGCAGCCCAAAACTTGGGTCATGTGGCCCGTAGGATTACACGAATCCCTCCAGGTGGGAGTGTTGGTTGAATTTTCCAAACTGTTTTGATGTCTGGGGACAGGAAAGTGAGAGAGTCCTGGACAGTGCAGGACTCATGGTTGTCAGAAGACATGGGGACTTCTGTGTGGTCCCAGGGCTGCCTCCATAGCCCTCTGAGGCAGGGCCTCACCCATGAGCAGTCGGAGCTGAGGCTGTGGTGCTGCTCAGCCTCCCAGGGCACAAGCTGGGATTGGAGCTCCAAAGCCAGGCTCTTTTGGTCTAACTCTCTCCCACCTTTGTGTTTCTGTGGGCTGTGGGTTGCGTGGAAAGCCCAAGAACTAACTTCTAACCCTGAGTGGTCTCCTTGCCAGTTGAATGACCTTAGTGACAGTGTCTTGGGGAGCCTCAGATTTCACACAGGGAGAGTCAACCATCATCGGAGGGTTTTATTGAGAGAATGAACCAAGTGAAATTCAGCCTGACACAGTGTCCGGCCTTGGGGTGTTCAAGAAGTGTTGGTTCTCATTTCCACTTGAGATATGCAAACAGCTAAAAAACATCTGGGCTTGAAAAAATTCTAACTCCTTGAACAAATAAGTCTATCCTTCTGAAAACAAAACAGTGTATGTAATGACCTACGTTAAATGTGTCTTACTGGCCAATTAATCATGTGGTTAAACATTGCCTGTAGTCATATAAGTAGGTCCTAAGGCAAGTAGGAAGGAAGGAATCGTCTTCATTCCAAAGTTCTGAAAACATGTAGGACACACGGTGGGTGTTGGGGGCAGGGGGAGGAAGAGGCCCGTTGGATGCCCTCAGACACACACCCAAAATGGTGAGATTGGGCCTTGCCTTCACTGTGTATGGGCTTTTTCCCTGAGAAAAGACTAGAAGTCCTGTGTGTGATTGTGTGTGTGTGTGTGGGGGGGTGCATGTCTGTGTCTGTGACTGTGGGTCTCAGCAGGTCAGCTGACCCAGGCTCCCTGGGCAGAGTCTTGAGGAGAACCAGCTCATTCCCTGAGATTGGTCCATTTTCTAGGGTGCCATGTGTGCCCAGGGTCCCCTAGGCCAGGGCAGTGCTGCATGACCATTTGATGTGACTGAAGGCCAGGGTAGGTGGGCTGACCAGGGGGTGACTCTGCTTGGCCAGGGGGTGGGCTCCAGTGGTGGTCCAGGATGAGCTACTCTGCCCCTGTCTCTGGAGACGGATCAAGGGGTGGCAAGAGCCTTTTAAGGTCCTCACTCCTCTTGTGGTCAATGTCTTCCATTTCCCGTAGCTTCTGCAAAAGGCATCAGGGAAAGCTGGGGATCAGGGAGGGAACTTGAGGAGCCGCTGCTGATGTGAGGCTAGAATGGACTCCCAGACCTGGGCCAGACCTAGGCAACAGCTGCTCTGTCCACTCACGTCTCCTGCTGCGCACTCATGGTGGACCCTCCCCCACCCCTTCCCTGTTGCTTCTCCTACCTGGGAGATCTCAGCAAGGATGATCCCTCGGTACTGTCTGCCCTGTCCCAGCGCCTCCATGCCAGCCAGGAATTCTTTCCTCTCCTGGATTTCCTTTACCACTAGACGAGGGGAGAAGGGCCGTCTGTGTACAGGGCAGTAGGGGGCCAGCAGGCTCCTGGGATGGGTGGTGGGGGCAACAGGTTGCCTCTCGTGGGGAGAGGAAGCAGTTCTGTGGCCAGTGTTTCTCACTCTGGCCGCAGGTTATGGGCCCCTCCACACCCCCCACCCCAGCATAAGCGACCCATCAGTGGCTTACATTCTTCAAAGCGGTCCAGCTCAGGGGCCGAGTCCTCCTGTTGCACTGGAGGGGGCTTTCTTTTCCGTTCCTCTGAGTCCTTCCCAGTGGCAAAAATATTTTGGAGTCTTCGCTTCTCTTTCTCCAGATCTCCTGTAGGGCCCAGAAATGGCCTCATTAAGGCAGGCAGGGCACCCCCTTCATGGCCCCTGGGCCACACGGAGGGGGCTTCTGCAAACCAGGCGCCTTCTACCCTGGGAGCCCCTGAGCTTGTGTCAAGACAGGCAGGAAGGGGAAGGGCTGGCAGAATGGAAGTCAGAACCCACACGCTGCTCGGGTGCAGAGTGAGGCTAAGAAAAATGTGACTGCCGTGATGGCAGCCTGGGTACAGAGGCTGCAGGGAGCTGTCGGTGGGTCGGGGCCACAAGTTACATCAGACGCCCGGTAGGGAGGGGGACAAAGGCTCCGTGGAGGAGGCTGGCATGCAGAGGAGCTCTGGATTGGAGTGACTGTGTGACCTTAAAAGAGCAGTGGCCATGAGACCTGACAGCCAAACGTTCCTCAGGAACTGGTGGACTCCAGTTAATCATTATTGAGTTCTAAAAAAACAAAAAAGGATCACCTGACTGGTTTTCCCTATACCCTGAACAGCCCAAGCTAACAAGTGCCAAGGCTCAAGCACATTAGTATACACAGCATGAGAATTCACTGCCCCCTTGGGGAGGGAGTGGGAGTCGGGGCTCTTGAGGCCCTCTCACTTACGGGTGGCTTGAGGCCTGAATGGTTCCCGGCTGTAGGCCCCGCTGGCTTGGCACAAGCTGGCAGGCCGGAGGTGGGGCCGGGCCGCCAGGATGGGAGGCAGGTAGATGGCTGAGGCTGGCTGTTTGGAAGGCAAGACCCTCTGGCTGGATGTTGGGCTGCACTGTAGGGGCAGAGTGTCTCCTCCTGGGGCAGGAAGGTTCGGGTGAGGCCGGGTTGGGGGTGGGAAGCCACCTGGGTTGTGTTTTGTTTTGTTAATTTATAAAAGTGACACCGCCTTGCTACAAGTCATAGAGTGTAGACGTCCTCCCTTCTGTCCTCCGACCCCCACCCCCACCCCGCAGCAGGCAATTGTTAGAATTTGGTGGTCTTGTTCCAGACTTTCTGATGTTATACAAACCTGTTCAA